CAGATTGTGAAATCAGTACGCATCGTTTCCTGCTTCTGACATCCCATTCTTCCCTCCCAGGATTTCCTTCACCTCTGGGATGTTCACTTCCATCACTTTCCTGACTTGTTCTTCGAAAGAGAGAGAAGGGTTTGGCAGCCGCCCCGGACTATTTGCATGAAAACACCAGCCCTAGCCTTAGCATCACTGAAGGGGATGCTTCAGCACGAGCTTCCCAAAAGTTCCTTGCTTGGACACTGTCTCCATCTCTTCCAGCGCCTTTTCTCCCGTACCCTCGAACACACGCACGACAGGAAGCTCGAATCCCTTTCCGTAACTCTTGACTACCCAGTCGAGAGCAGCCCACATGTTGGAGGCCTTTCCAGGTTCTGCGGGGATGACATGGCGACCACCGGCAACCTCGAAGACAATATCGTAGTCTCGGGATCCGAGGACTGATTCGCTTGGCGGACGCTGCGCACCCGTTGCATTGACCCAAGAAAATTGAGTATCGGCATTGATGTTGGTAAGCGCACCGAGCAGCAGCTGACTTGATTCGAGCGACCCCGCGGTCTCGAATCCCCATACCCGAGAGTGGCCTGTTTTGATGACCGCTTGTCTGACCTTGTCTGAGACATCGACATCCTTGTAGTCGAAGCATTCGGTTGCACCGAGTCCTCGGAGAAGATCATGACGGGGGAGAGATGCCGTAGTGATGATGTTGGTAACCCCGCTAGCTCGGGCCAGCTGGATGGCGGACAGGCCGACGGCCGTTCCTCCACCCCATACAACCAGCGTGCCCTCAACAACATCAGTACTGGATCCTGGGAGAGGAAGTTTGAAGTTGTTGTACAATGCGTCGCTGGCGGTGTGGCTGACGGTGGTTATGGCTGCAGCGTCGGGGCGGGGCATGTTCTCAGGGACTCTGAAAAGGCCAAGTTTCGGCGTGGAGATGCGCGGCTTATGAGCGCCGTACTCTTTGGAGTATTCTCCATGGGCAACACTCTGACCGGCCACGATGTCGCCGACTTTGAACCCAGAGTCGACGAGCGCGGGGCAGTCTAGGACCTTGCCGCAGAAGTCGGTTCCCGAGACAGAGTTGCGGAAGTTGGTGAAGTGTACTATCTTGAGATCCGCAGGGTTGACTCCCGAGTAGACGACATCAATGAGAATCTCGTCGTCTCGTGCTGTGACTGGAGGGAGGTCATGTCGAGTAACGACTTGTCCATCACTTCCGACGAAAAGAGCAGCACCTGTCATGGTTAAAAGTGAGTGTAAGGCGCAAAATATCAATGGAAACGCGAAATGATTGTTTGGTAAAACATTCAACGTACTAAAAACTCTCGCGCAAGTGTTATTTATCTAATCTTCAAAGGTGCAGGTGAAGATACTTAGTTTCAGCAACAGGATTGCTCAAAGTCCGCCAAGTCCGCCTCTCGGCAGTCATGCTACATGCAGTGTCACAATTGCGTTCAGCTGTGACTGCCACAGCCACATTTTGGCTTCACTGAGAGGGACTTCAGTTGAAAGTCCGCAAAACCTGTCGGACTTTGTCAAATGCTACGGACTTGAATCTGAGCTATGGAGCTACGATGTCTATGTTTACAACCTACACAGGTATGACCTTGTGACACGGAGAGGTTTCTGCAAATAGAATTCTAAGCCCAGAGAGCGACTGAGAGAAGCAGCAATCTCTCAATAATGTTTCAATACATGATACATTCATTGATATCTACCTATCAATAACGGAGTAGTCATCGAAACGTTACTTGCGACAGGGTTAGTGCAAGTTGATGGTGGCTGATTTAGCATAGGTACCTTTCGCGGGGACCGCATCGAACATGGGATTAATGGCTGGTGGAAAAGCCTCGTGTAGTCGCCAACATCTTGACCGGTGCCGACTGACGCGCATCCATCCGGACGACCATATCTAGACTTTGATATCCATCCTCTCAGATGCCACCAATCTCGTTCAGAAGCGGTTCGTCGAAGAGGGTCTATCAGCCGTGGAGCGGAGGTTGATCTTCCGGAATGTCATCTCCAATTCCATTATTCTCATTCCACTCATCGGGAGCCTCAAACGTCTCATCCGAGATCCAGTTTCTCGAATGAGGAGGTCGAATAGGTTGACGATCATTAGGCAACCAGTACGCCTTGCGATAGCCATTGAGAAGGTTCATGCCCTCCTCCTTGACATCGCTCCACTCGCACATGTCCCAGTGCCAGACGGCGAGGTCGATCCACTGGATGCTGTTATCGCACTGGTGCTTCTTGCACTCGTCCAAAGCTTTGCCGAAGCTGATCCAGTCCGGCGTGTGTGCGGCGGTTTTCGCGCACCATTCGCCGGCGAGCTTTGGGAGCGTGGCGCCTTTGATGCGCCATTGTGTTTCTCCAATGCAGTATTGGATGCAAGTGGGGAGTCTGTCGATTCTGACGTGGCGTGCGCTGGTACGTTTGGGGGGTTTGGCGAAGACTGCCATGGGGGCGAGAAGAATAGCGAGGGTAGTTGACAGCTTCATGCTTGCGGTTGCGTGGGTGTACGTAGCTGTGTATGTGAATGAATGGATGGCTGTGAGTAGATTCTCTTGATACGTTAGTTATACCCCTGACAGGATGGAAAGGAGTATATGTACCTTGTCCAATGTGGTGAAATGGGTGAAAGCCAAGACCAGTGTGGTATGAGGGAGATGAGAATGAGATGAAGCATGGGTGGGAAGAAAGCTCCAATGTCATATTTACGCTGAGGCTATCTCCGGAAGCCAACATCGAAAGGAAGTTCGTGGAAGCGGAGTGGTAAGGTTGAAGGTTTCAGGGAGTGGGCACGCTGGACATCACGGAGTCGAAGGCTTTGCGTTTCGGAGATACCATGAGTAGAGGACAATACCTGACAGTAGTTTGATTCAAAGCTTGGATTATTTGATAAACATTCTTCGAAAGATATCAAGGTGTCTATTTTATCGACTATATACAGCATTTACGTGCAGTAAAATAGGCAGCAAGGTGGTAAAGAGTTACCAGCAGCTATCATATTGACGAATGTGGCGATGATTGACTTCTAGTACCATTGATGCCAGGCTCCTCCACAGACTTGCGTGAATTTTGTTGAACTCATAACATATCCATGTTAACAAACTTCCCGTGACTGCTGTGTTGCAGAATTCCAAAGTAGAGTAGAGTACGGACTGTTAGAGACGTGGAAAACCAAGCCACTAACGGCGCTGGACCTCATTTCCCTGCACAAGCCTCGAAACACACACCCTTAAAGGTCTTGTGACTTTTATCATCAGTAGTCACCGCCGAACAACAAGTCTTGTCCCTTCTCGCACACTTCTTCCCCTTGCTATTTTGGCAATCATTATCAGAATTGCACATATCCTGACAATACTGCCCATCGAACGCGCCGCAAAACGGATCGCCTTCAACAGACTCCATGCAGTCGCACAATTCGTCTTCGCCAGCACCGCAGCTTGATCCGCTGACGATGGGGTCTTGACAGCTTTCGAGAAGGGAAACGCCTGCTTTGCAGGTGTGTGCTTCGAGGCAGTGGCCTGAGTGGCAGTTGAAGGTTTCAGGGCACTATTGTCGTAGTCAGTCGAACCGTCTTGTCCTATGGGTAATGGACCGTGTTGGGGAAGAGCCTCACCTTGTTTCCGCATTTGCTGCAGTTCACGGGATCGCTCTGGAATGTGTCGTTGGGTAGGCACTCGGAGTTGCAGCACGTCGTGCCCTTGCCGCACTAGTAAAGTCCAATTAGCCTTCGATACCAAACCGTGATACTTGCATCTACAAGATGGGCTGGGCTTTATGTCAAGGGTGACTTGCCTTGGTACCGCACTTTCCGCAATTTTTGCCATCACTCTGCAACTGCGTCGTGCTCATACACTTGGAATCGCAACAAGCTTGACCTTCGTCACACTAAAACAAAAAGGTGAGTGAATAGTCGGGAACGTCGATTTCAGAGGAGACGATATAAGGTTGTGAGATATCCACGTACCCTGACGCCGCATTTGCCACAATTGTTGACATCGGCCTGAAAGTTGTTCTCGGGGACGCACTTCGAAGTACAGCAGCTTTCCTTTTCGCCGCACTTTAGTGTTCAACATGTCAGTCCAAATACCGCATATCTGGCTACAAGGTAAAAGGATGTATGCAAGTTATGTAGACAATAACACCTACCTTGTTCCCACACTTCCCACAATTATTGACGTCAGTGGACGTATCGACACACTCAGCCGTCTTCCGAGTCTTGCAAAACATCTTGGGCTTCTCGCATGTCTGGCAGAGCGTATCACAGTTCGGGAAGACGAGTTTGAGGGGCAGACAGAGTACCGAGCAGAGGGCAGGCAACTCGTTGGTGGATACGGCGTCTTGAAAGAGCTCTTGAGCGGCTAGTAAGTGCGTTAGGTCTGGTTGAGTCAGGATCAGGCGCTGGGCTTACAGATCCATGTGCTGGCGATGGCGATGAAGAGCCACGTTGTTATGGATTTCGGGATGATCATTGGTACTGTTCAACTTGGCAGCCTGTCAATATCTTGCTACGTTTCTGCGAGACAAGGCATTCATGTATTGGTAGTTGGCAGCGAACATTCTATGGAATATCTATACATCTTATATAGATCGCAGGTTTGTGGAACCCTTACCGTTCTAACCGACCTCTCTTCGTGGCGTAATACATTGTGAACCATAATCACAAGTACGATGTTGAGCATGGATTGTATTCTGGCAACTGTTCACTTTGAGCAACGCACCCAGAAGGAGCAGCGAAGCTCAATCGCGGTGCTTTTATGGGCAGGCTATCAGATGTCTCGGCATTCGTCGAACCAGGAGTTTCAATAATGATCGATGGCCAATAGAGACGAGTTGTCTCAGTTGACAAGTATAACACCAACCGGCCAATAGTCTCGGATACTGTTACTCAATCAATAACCTGGGCTGATTCTTGGCTTGGACGGTTGAACCAAAGCCAATGGCTCACAAGCTTCATACCCCATCGGCAATCTTGCAATACAACAAGACCTACATCAAATACTTGTTGACAGATAAGGTGTGGCAACGCAATGGAACCAAGCATGTAGATCTATAGCTCAATCTGTTTTCCCTCTTGCTGGATTTCAGCTGATCGCCTAATCTTGGCAAAGCCGTTTTACAACCTTTTGATCTGGCCGTTGGTCAGCTTCGCCAAGGCCAAGAATATCCCAAGAGCACCAAGCCTTGGATAAAGTCACAGGTGGAGAGGAGGGCGTCGGCGCAGCAAAGGACCCCTCAAAGCAGCTCCGGTCTGGTCCTTTGAGAGATCCTTCATCTTCTGATCGAGTTGCGACTCGGTGGGTACTCGTCTCTGCTGCTTTATGTATGATGACGGCGCTGCGGCCAAGCGTCAAAGGCAAGGTATACATTCTGCATGCCTCCAACCCCGCAGGACCGGCAGACAGACGCTTGGGAATGGGGTTAATTCCATCATCCAAGACGTGAGTACATGCATAGTGCCGTAATACAAGCTCATGGGAGGTGGGAGGATAAGCAAAGGTCAAGCTTCGCGTGGACCATTCCGGGAACGAGGAAAGGGTAAGACGGGCAAAACGGATAGCTAGAGGCTTAGGTCGTGACTGCAGTACCGACTATCATCGCAAGCTAGTTGCTGCTGTAGTGACCACCCTCAAAGTGTGTTTGTGATGGGCGAGCATGCTGCCACCCACCGGCTAGGTGTCTCACCCCAGCTATGTTGCTACAAACGTGCGAGCAACGTGTTGTTTTCTCCAAGAGAAAAGTGACTTACGCTAATAGCGCCGTAGGGGAAAACCGACAATTAGAGTCTAACATAGGCCGTTCCGAGGGGTTGGTTCGGGGCGATGGCCGGTGGCGCAAGGTGACGGCATGGAGAGTGTCAGTGAGCATGATTTGGATTCTTTACGAAGCTATACACGAACCCGATCTGTGGTTTCGACAACACCAGGGACCACGGCGACGGCTTGGCGAAATAGTTTCGTTGCCAAGAGCATGCGAGGAAGAACTAGTGGTGTTCTGGCCTGAGCGAGCGTGGAACGAGAGAACCGAGGGGCTCAAAGGGGGGGGGGGGGGGCGGAAGGGCGCTCTGGGTTGAACCTCCTACGTCACTTGGCCCGGTCCACACCATCTTGCGCGGTCGCGAGAAGCCAAGCGCTTGGCAACTCCACCGAGAAGATTGTGACCTTGTCAGACCACACAATGTTGCACTTGGTGAACAAGAATGACAAGAATTGGAAACTTGAGCTCGGCGTTGGCGAGGACGTCGGTTTGAAGCAGTTCGGATGAGGAAGGGGGAGTACACTAGCCGCCGGGGGCGATAATTCGATCTCGGATGCCTCGTGCGCATATACGGGCGCCGAGCGCGGGGTGATGGGCGACAGACAGCACAGATGAGGAAAACCGACAGAAGGGATCAGCATTGCGCTTGGATCGTCGACGCAACCCCTCCATGTGTGCGATGTAATGTCTCTCGTCCCCTCGTTCTGGTCTGTGTGTGATGGGTGGTTTGGTAGTGCGAGCTGCGATCCTGTGTCCTCGGGTTGCGGGCTGCAGGCTTCGGGGCCGTGAGTGGTCAATTGACGGCGATGTGGGATTATGGGGTCAATGGGGATTTTCTGGGGTCTAGAATGCCTGGGCCCAGCTTCGGTCATCCCACGTCGGAGCTGATCCAACGTCGTTGAGTCGTAGGACAAGAACCGCCAAGGGCCGCCAAGTAGAGCCGGCGCAAACGGAGTCACAATGGTGGGTAGCTAGGTCCTGACTGTAGTCATGCCATGGTAGGTATATGATACGCGCGAAGCATGGACAGGAGGCCGTAGGTAGAATACTTGTCGCCTTGCCAGTTGATCAGGATGGGTCTACTTCTAGAGGATTCGGTATTGATGGTATGTAGGCTGGGCACGACTGCCAGAAACCCACATTCCAGCGTGAGTGAATGGTTGTACGGATAGCGGTTGCAGAAATGGCAGGATGGCTATTGCATTCCTCGCTTGCAGTCGGAATAGACTTGCTTTTTTCGTAAGCCCATGCCCGGGGGGGCACGGCGACGTTCGCCGGCAATCGTTGTCCGGAGGCTGGAGAGGTTTCCTACATCGCCCGCGCCGGCGGCTCGCCATCGAACCCCGGTCCACCTTGAAGGTCCTTCCGTCCAAGTCTGCCTAGCCAGACCTTTTGATACGCAAGCTGGTGTTAGATGGTGTGAAAGATAGTGTACGACCGATGGCGCGGACGAACTGGTGTGGTAAAGGTCGAAATCTTGGCAGCGGACGGAGTTGGGCGAAAAGTGATTGAAAGTGGCGTGCCATCCGGTGTCGCCATCTCGCTCCGCCCGGCGGAAGGCGAAGTCAGCGTCGGGCTCCGGCTTTCTTCGGGTTCGGTGATGGATTCGACGACGTGTTGGGTTGCAAGCATCTTCCATACGAAGAAGACTGATCAGCTGACGCGTAGGGAGGGTACACGTGATATCAAAGCTTGCGAAGAGTCAGAGCAGAGCCTCTCTCAGCCTTAGCACTCGGAGATATACGATGACTGGGTTTGGCATGTCATTCCGGGGTGCAAGTAGGAGTTCGGCATCTGGAGAGGCGGCGTTGTTGAAAGGATCACGTTGTTTCGGGGTCTTTTTTTGTTGAGGTGAAGCCGGGAGTTGTTCCATTTGGGTGTACCTCCCCATTCGTATCCAGGCAAGTACCTATGCGTGGCCGGGAAGGTGCAACGCAAACGGCCAAACAAAAACATGACACAGCAGCGTATAGGCGTCCAGTCCCGGCGGCTCTCAGGCTCTCAGGGCAGCCAAGGCGCCATGATTCGCCCCCTTGCAACCAACTTACGGCGGATAGTCGCGGCGAGTCCGCTGAGGTGCGTAAGTACCAAGGCTGTGCATCTTGGCTGGCAAGATACCTCCACCCGCTGTAACCAGGTGCTGTGGTATCTGGACCAGCTGGAGGCAAAAGCCAAGAGAGAAGGAATCCAGTGGCCAAGAGATGACAGGCCAATCACACAACATGCTCGTGCAAAAGACCCATATAAAATGTGAAAATGTCTGTGCGTCTGGCTCGAGCATGTCCAGTAGCACGTGATGCATGCCCCCATGGCGCAGTTGAGACTGTCCATTGGTTTATCGCATCAAATAACTTTATCCGCCGAGAGGCGACCAATGGCGTCACTGACATGAAATGGGCTCGTTCCATTCCATTGCCTTCGCAGCGAGAAAAGCTGCAGAGTCACACTCAATTTTTAAATATGTGTGCACGCTACAAACTTTCTATCCGTTTGCAGCTGCAATGGTCCGTTCGTTTTATAGTCATGTTTCTGTTGTTTTGCATGGAGGCTCCAATGGCAGAACACCGTCCTCCTGCTACCTACTGCAGCTCACGATCTATTGGCCGCTTGACACAACTGGCCCATATGAGCAAGCAAATACCATACCTCCAGTCTCTCATGATGAAGTTCCATTCTTTCGATAAGATGTCATAGAGAAACAACCTGCAACCTGCCTTGATATATCAATGAGCAAGGCAAGAGAGTAAATACATACTCACATTGCGTACCCCCGGGCCTCCCTCCGGCCCTTCTCTCCAGAGTTCCTTTCTTCTCCAGCGCCCCCTGCTCTTTCCCTACCTTAATCCATGCCCCACCACCGGACCCCACTCCCTCTGGGTGCCCCACTTCCGTCCACGCCGCTTCCTTCCGCCAAGAGCTCCGCCAAGGTCATCGTCACCCGAGGACCACCACCCAACCGGACCGTCTTTGCTCTCAGTCTCTCATTTTTTTCCTGCCTTTTCCAATTCCAAACCAAACTTCTCAGGAAACTGGAACGGTCTCCAAAAGCCAAGAAGCTCACCACCCGCCAAGTTCAGCCAAGTCAAGCTTCCATGTCTACCGCCTTGGTACAACCACCAACGCCCAATCACACACTTTCAGTCGGCACAATGACCGAATGCCTTTTTTCTTTTGCAAGCTCTCGTGCCAATGTTCCCTTCACGACAACGCCCCTCTACGAAGGGGGAAGGGGGGCGTGTTATCATATGCCCAGACCTTGGCATCTTTCCCAGCTTTTTCTTTCTCTTTCTTTCACTTCCCCAGTCTGACGCTGATAACCTTGTGGGTTACGAGGCACAAGCTTCCAAACTTTTCGAAACCCTGCGCATTTCCAAGTCTACCAGTCTCCCGGCTGTCAGTCTATAAAGGTAGCCTTGTCCCCCCCTCCAACCTTTGTCATCTCAAACTCTAGATCTGTCGGTCAGATAGCTTTCCCTCTCCTTCCTTCCAACCACACAACGGAAGAAGAAGCTTTTCCAAGGTTACCAAGCCAACCATCAACCATCCTCTCTGACCTCATCCGCGAGTGAGAGGCATCATCACTACAACCGCCTATCTCCAGCCTCGATTTGGCAAGTTCTACAGCTGATTCAAGCTTCTCTCCACCTACCACCCCGATCGTGAATGGAAACATCCTACATCGCATCAACGTCGCCAGCTCAGACACGACACAATGTCTGGTGACTACCCAAAACACCCCTTCTTGCTGACGGTCCAAGAGACCGCGCAGGCGCTCGGAGTTGACCCCGACAAGGGATTGTCTTCGCAGCAAGTCCAGCAGGCTTCGGACAAGTACCCTCCCAATGAGTTCGAAGTTGGCGAGTCGGTGCCATGGTACACAATTCTTAGCAAGCAGTTGTTCAATGCCATGGTGCTCGTTCTCGTCTTCGCCATGATTCTGAGTTTCGCCATCAACGACTACATCGAGGGCGGCGTTCTTGCCTTCGTCATTGTCGCCAACGTCACCATTGGTTTCTGGCAGGAATACCGCGCCGAGAAGCAGATGGATGCTCTCCGCACTCTTTCTGCCCCCTCTGCCAACGTTCTCCGCGACGGAAAGACCAAAGTTATTCCCAAGTAAGTATGCACAATGCGTCAACGCGCGGTCCCCCCCGCTTCCTCTCATCTTGGCTCTCTTGGCTTCTAGCCGCCTTGCTTGTTTTCCCTTGGCAAACATGCTAACCGTTGCAACAGCGCTGAAGTCGTCCCTGGTGACATCATCCTTCTCAAGATGGGTGATACAGTGCCTGCCGACATGCGCATGTTCGAGGCTATGAACCTGTCTTGCGATGAGCAGTCTCTTACCGGTGAAGCTCAACCCGTCGATAAGACCACCGAAGCCAACATCATGGTCCCTGGCTCTGAGAAGAAAGCCACGGAAGAGGGCGAAGTCGGTATCGGTGACCGCCTCAACATCGCATACGCCACAACAATTGTTCGCAAGGGCCGTGGTCGCGGTATTGTGGTCGCTACTGGCATGCAGACCGAGGTCGGCAAGATCGCTGCATCTACCCAAAAGAAGACTCGCAAGCCCGGTCGCTCCATGAACTACAAGAAGTACGGCAAGCGTCAG